GAAGGAAGGAAGGAAGGAAGGAAGGAAGGAAGGAAGGAAGGAAGGAAGGAAGGAAGACATGAACAACAGGCAAAAATTTACATTATCTATATATCTATATCTATTAAAAGGACCAGATGTTTTAGAGCCACTGGAAACATAACTGTAAGTAATTAGCATGGACAGCCCCAAAGGGAGTGGCCTTTAGCTGTTCCAGCCTTAATCTTTTTACGTTCATAACAGCAGCAGAATAGAGATGTAAAGTATGAAACCAGGTGATTCCTCCCCTATTCTGCACCATAAAAGAAACAATTTGGCAGGTGATTGATCTATCCAACATTTTGCATATTACAAAGTTTCTCTGTGCCTGTGCCAGAGGGGAGAATGCCCATGAACTTAAGTCTGCTCCATGTCATGCTAGACCATAATTTAACATTACTTTGAAACTCAGATATTAATTCCAGGAAGGAAAAAAAAAACGTTATGGAGAAGCCATGGCCTTGAATTGTGCATTTTAGATCTTCATTAAATGTGAAAAGCTAATTGACTGCTAGAAACATGCTTTAGGAATTTCCACCTAAGTTTGGTTAAATATCTGTTTCTCTGAAAAAGAAGTCTGCAGATTTTGAGAAGCTTAGGTTCCCACTGAACATTCTTAATTGCTTTAATATTTTGGAAACTTGATTGCTATTGCATTGTTTTGAAAGGAAATACTCCTTTTCTATTCTTTTGCTTTCAGAATAAAAATGTTAATGAAGATAAAGCAATGACATTAGAGGACAGTGTGAGGAAAAATTATACCTACCCTGGCAAAGAGACCTTTTCTCATAAAGAAATTAAAGGTGTCCCTGCTTTAATAGCATTTCACTGAAGAGGATTAATGTTCCATTGCCTTTTTGTTAATGGATTGACTTTTGTAAATCTTTATTTTAAATAAAAGATACAGTTATCTTTAATACACATAATGTCTTGTTCACATCTAAGACAAAACTACAAAATTTTGAAATAATAGTTGAAAAATCATATCAGTCAGGTTCATGTAACAGAAAACCAGCCCTGATGGATTCAAGTATAATAGTGCCAAAAGAAAACACCCTAAAATATGGCTTCATTGATATGTGAAAGGGATGTATTGTATTAAAAATTACACAGTTATGTTTGCATATTTGAGATGGTCTTGGATTTTTTAATTGGGAATCAGTAACCGCACCACAGGTACAGTATTTTACTGATGCAGAAATCCTTGCTCCAAAGGATTTACCCTTCTTCTTTACCACAAAGGCTCATTGAATTGGACCATCTGCCACTTTCCTTCTGTTGATTAAAGTTGCCTTGGGCCAGTTGAATGTAAATATGGGCTGAAGAACACGTTCAGAATAATCACAAGGGACACAGGCAACTAGCTGAGAATCTACAGTAGGTAGAGATAGGAGATCTAGCATCTAGGTAGAGATGCTTACTGAAGTGAATCATTCTTTGCGCACTGAAACTGAAAACCAAAGATATGAATTCTGGTTTAACGTCCTTATTGACATGCTGCTAATCTGATAGGAAATGGAGGTTTTTCTTTCCAAATAATTACCTGTGAGTTGGAGGAGGTCATTTTATATTCTGCAAATAGAAGACTGAAAACAAGTGAATGGATGAAGATGCAGATGTTTGCAGATAGCACTGCTGAACTAGCATGCATGCTCTGAAGATTAGCCTGAAGATTACCCTTGTTTGAGAGGGACTCTTTGCCTACTGAACTGAACTCTTTTCAGAATCCCTAATGTATTCTTTCCTTCCCTGTTCAGTTAGCTCTTCTCCATATATCCACCTAGTTCTCTTCCTCCTTTTTCTTTTTCCTTTTCTAGGATACTTGTCCTTTGTTCTCACTTCATTCATCCTGTTTTCCTCCCTTTTCTTTTTTTTTTCTTTTTGTGAAAGATAAAAGGGAAGGTTGAGGAACTATATGTGAGAGGGTTGTAAACAACAGAGTATGGCTGGTATAAGCAGATAGAGGATCAATTAATCATAGAGATAAGCCCTTCATTCTAAGTATTGGGTGTTCATTCAGTTGATAAAAAAATGACAGGTACAGATACACATACAAGTTTGTCACATCCAGTTATTTTTTGGAAGGGGGAACTTCTAGGATTTGTTTCAGCTGGAGTTAATAAGCTTAGGTGGACAAGGTAGGTCATTTTTCTTCAATCTATTCCTCATTTGGGTGAGTCATCTTAAATTCAGGATTGTTTGCCCCTTCAGCTACCTATGATAGTTATCTGTGTGTTGGTACTTTCCCACTTCCTTTTTTTTTTTTTCCTAATTTAGAATGTTTCAAACATGCTTCTCTCCCCAAAAGAGAACATTCCTCCCCATCCTAAAAAGATGGAGTTGTATTTTAAATAAAGGCATACTGAAACATACATAGGATGAAGCCCCTAGGATTTCCACAGTATTTGGAATAATGACATGCTAGTATATTTGTTCAGTTTAACAGTCTGTAAACCCACTGATGTCATCTTTTAATTTTCCCTAAAATGTGCAAGGTATGAAAAACTAAGTTTTTCCTGGCTTCTTTTTCTCATTAACCTGTCTGTATTTGAAGTCTACAAATCATTTTCTACTTTTATTAGAATTTTTTTAAAAAGTGAAAATGAAGGTAATCTTTTCAAGGTAAGCAAAAGTAGAATAATTTATAGGAAGAGTTAGATGCTGTTGAAGAAATGTATTAATAACAACCATGCTCAGGTCTCCAGTGAAATTGTTTTGATTTCTTACACAATGAGTTTGAAATAAAGTACAAATCCATGCTAAGTCCCCAAAGAACTGATTAAAATCTGTTTTTCTATTCATTTGTATGTATTGTTTCTTAAAAAACCATCCAATTTATTCTTGCCATAAATGCAGTATTTAATCTCAAGAAAAACTACACCTTTCAAGTTTTACATCTTCAGTGTTGAGTATGGGCATGTTCTTCCACCTAATTATGCAGATTTTGTTTCAAGACTTGAAAAGAGGGGGGATTAATTAATTAATTTCCTGTAAATAAGCAAATTTGTCACAAATATTTTTATTTATTAATTAATCAAATGTATATGCCGCCCATCTCACTATATAAGTGACTCTATAAGTGACTCTAGGTGCTCAGAAATAAAAGTCATAAAAACAGTAAAAATCTTACAAAAATGAACAAAATTAAAAGACAGGGAGAGCATCCTCAAGCCACCAGCCACACCCAGTAGCTGCGGACCCCCATTGGATCCCCAAGCCAGTTGGCAGAGCCAGGTCTTAACACTCTTCTGGAAGGCCAGAAGAATGAGGGTCAATCTCACCTTGGGGGCAAGATATTCCACAGGGCGAGGAAGACAGCAGAAAAGGGTCTTCTCCTAGACCCCACCAGCGGAAATTCTTTAGCCGATAGGGTCCATAACGTGCCCTTCCTGCAGGACCAGGTGGGAAGGGTCGATGTAATTGGGACGAGATGGCTCCTCAGGTAACCTGGGCCCATGCCATGAAAGGTTTTAAAGGTTATAACCAACACTTTGAATTGGACCCGGAAGCAAACTGGCACCCAGTGCAGCTCATGCAGCAGAGATGTTACATGTGCAGCACTAGAAGCTCCCGTAACTGCCCATGCTGCTGCATTCTGCACCAGCTGCAGCTTCTGGATACTTTTCAAGGGTAGCCCCATGCCGAGTGCATTACAGTAGTCCATATGGGAAATGCCCAGGACATGAGTGACCGAGAGAAGGGCTTCCCAATCCAGGAAAGGGTGCAACTGGTGCACAACACAGTTGAGCAAAAGCCCTCTTAGCCATGACTGCCACCTGCTCCTCTGGCAGGAGTTGTGAGTCCAGTAGGATCCCCAAATTACGCACCGGTAAGTGCAGCAGTACAACCCCATCTAGAAACAAAGATTGTAAAACCCCAGATTTGGAAAAGCCCCC